GTTGCACAGTCCCCCCATCATGACAACCAAAAATGTCAAACATTGTCAGAGGGCCCCAGAGGGTCAAGATTGCCCGTGACTGAGAACTGCTGCTTGAACACAATTAGAGCCCATTTTCTTCTCACCAAAATCTGGTGGCTAGGAAGTTTTGGTTTTATAAGAACGAGGAAGGTAGAAAACGGTTGGTAGATTAACTGCAAGTGTCCACTTCATCTGAAATTCTAATGGACCAGAATTGGGTCATATTTAGCAGACTTACTAAATTTTTGCTAGGCCCCTGTTGGTATATTCTAACATTAAAGTCTTTTATATTGGACAACTAAAACCCAATATTATTATGCCTTTAAAACATTTTATGGGCCTGTCAGTCCCAGCTTGGGCTCTTTTCTTCTTTAGTCAATTAGTCAGTTGCTCTTTAACTTAGAATTTGTCTCTGTATAACCTCATTCTTTTTCAACAAATATCTCCCCTGAGGTTTTCACATTCAGTGCAACTCACCCCCCTGTGACACTGCCCTGGGTCCCCTTGCCCAGGGGCGTTAGCAAACAGAGTTCTGCAGACTGCCCATTTTGCTAGCGGTTTAGGTACTAGAGAACTGTGATTGGAATTTTTCTAAAGTATCATTTTTCTTTTCCTGTGAAGTAATTGAAACAGAATACCGACACATATATTGTTTTGAAGTTTTTATGATTTCCAAGTTAACAAATTTGTATTTTTACAGGCATCAGATGACTGATATTTTGAGGATACATGTTATTTCTTCCCTGAATGTGCTGTGTGGAGAATCTCTTCTCTATTTTCATGTGCGTGCTCTGGCTGTAATGGAAACCCTGACTAGTACTAGATGAGAGGTGTGCAGCATGATGGGAGTAAATACGAACTGCTGCTTTTTCACCACCACTCAGGCAGAGGAGAGATTACACATGCGGTGGCTCTTAAATAGAGTGCCCCCACCAGACCAATAAAAAATAACAAAGCTAACTGACACACAGGCTAGACTTCATGTGGATTGTTCAGGGGAGTCTGTCAGGATTTTTGTAGTTGGCAATACCTAGAAAGCCCTGAAGGGGGCTCCAGAAAGAGCCCTGTGTTTGCCATGGCTTTAGTTGTATTCTGTGTGTATACAGCACAACAGAAACAATCAGCTCTACCCTGCTGTTACTGATGATATCCCATAAATTGTTTTTCCCAGGTTATTTTCTTCTTTATTCTATTTTGCTAGTGGTTCATTTCTCAGTGTTTATTTTAAGCTCCTTAAGGGGAGGGGAACTATTGTATTCCTCTTGAAATGAGTTTTCAAAAACACTATTCCCCAGTCTTTATAAGGGTATTGTAGGGCTTAAAATTTACATTACATGCATCCTTCAGACCCGTTTGAACTACTACAGCTCTCCCCTTGAGTTTTCCTCTGCCCCTTGGAGACGTGGAGGGGACGAGCTCTAGGTATATCAGTATTCACTAAGATAGCTACCTGGGAAGGAAAGGGGACATTATTAAAGTAAAAATGGGGGTCTTGGCAAAGGCTCCAGTTTTAAAAGAGAGAGAGACAACCAATTAGGTTGAAATGATTTGAAGTCCATCCCTCCACAGTCATTTTTCTGAAGCAAGGTAAACATTTGGGTAGAAGTGGGTACATAGCCATTTTTCAATAAATGGACTAAATTGTCCCTTGGAACTATTACAGTAGGTGGTGCTCTTGTGCCATAGCATAACAGTTTTTAGAAAGGTTTTGAAACTAGGGCCTATTTCCCTATTGATCCCTTTGAGTGACTGCAAGGTACACAATTGGGATAGCATCATCTGGGTGGTTCAGGTGAGAGGTTTTTCTGTCTGGAAATGTGGTGAATTCTGGTCTTTACCTTTTCTAGCTTGCCTGAGTGCTCGCTGTCTGCTTTCCAAGGGTACCTAAATGAGGGGTTTACTAAACTGTTTTTTAAAACTATAGCTTTATCTGAACAATTATGTGTTACCAGTTTTCTGATACCATTTTTTTTTCCATTGGAAATCATCTGTGATCTTCCAAATCAAGCTTCTTTCCAGATAAGTGAGCTATCATTCTTGTTTTCTTTTTCTTTTTCTTTTTTTGAGTAGGTTTTAAAAATAAATGTTTTCATTGATTTTGAGAAGGGGGGGGGGAGAGAGAGAGAGAGATTAATGAGAGAGAAATATGAGTCAGTTGCCTCCTACATACCCCCTAATTTGATCGAACCCCCAATTTAGGCATATGCCCTGACCAGGAATTGGACTGGTGACCTCTGTGCATGGACGATGCACCCAACCAATTGAGCCACACTGGCCAGGGCTCATTCTTGTTTCTTTATGTTTTCTTTCCTTTAGCTTCAGAGAAGATGCAATATAATGAAATAACATGTGGTAGTGAAATTGTAAGTGATGAAGGAATATAGATGAAAAAGTAGTTAACTAGCCGCTAGTAATAACTGTAGCTGACTGTGAACCCTGTTGGTATCAGCTCCTTTCCTCACTTCTTGTACTATATAATGAGTTCCTTGGTCTAAAGTTGGTTGATGGTGAACAAAGGCATCCAGTAAAGTTCATATTTGGTGCTGCTGGGAGAAGCCTGGTGGGAAAGGAAGAGAAATTTAAGCCCAGAGCTGAGTATCCATTCCAGGGAGGACAAATCTCTTGTTGCCAGAAGTTGCCTGAAACATTTAGGCGTCTGCTTTTTCAGGAGGTTTCTTGGGGTTGTCTCTAATGTGAAGGAAAGTTGCTTTACCTTGTATCCACCAGCTGTTAGGAAGCTACAAAATGCTTATGGAGCTTCTGTATCAGCCTGGGTGTGAGGATCTGAGCTGCTGGCTGCCTGCTGTCTCCGCAGGCAGCCAGGCCTCAGTGGGCTCAGCTGGCCAGGCTGCTGCACCAGAGCCAGCCTCCCCGAGGGCTTTGTGACCCCTGGCCAGTGGGTGTACAGGTGCTCTCCAGTAGCTTTTGTGATTTTTAAAAAATAATATTTTTAGTTTGTGTGGCTTTTAAAAATTGATTTATTTATCTGCTTACTTGTTTGTTTAAATTATCTTTCTCAGTATTTAGAATGTACTTTTAATTAAAAAGTACATTTTTAATCTAAAACCCATGTATTTCTTGAACATTCTTAGCTTATCTTTAAATATACTTAGTTTTATCTCTTTAAATACTGCTTCTTTTCTTTTCCATCCTCTTCTCTTTCGTTTGCTCTGATGCCTTCCAGATGTTTGTGGAGCTGTCCTTCATGTTTCTTAAGTACTCTTTATATTTTTCTTCCTTATCTTTTGAGTTGCAATCTGTGTGAATTTCGTCGTGTTAGCTTCAAATGTGCTGGTTCTTACTTCAGTTCTGTCCAGTCTAAAGTATCTTGGGTACTGAGTTTTTTATTTCAGTGACTATTCTTCATTTTATAATTTCCAATTGATTCTTTTTTAAACATCTCTTCTTGTTTTAATTTTGCCTTTTTTGGTTTATAATTTCTTACTCCTTTAAAATTATATAAGTACTAGAGGCCCGGTGCACAAAAATTTGTGCACTGGGGGGGAGGGGTACCTCAGCCCAGCCTGTGCCCTCTCGCAGTCTGGGACCCCTCTGGGGATGACCACCTCCTGGCTTAGGCCCACTCCCCAAGGGATTGGGCCTAAGATGGCAATCAGACATCCCTCTGGCAGCCCGGCAGCCCTCGGGGGATGTCCACTTGCCAGTGGGGAGCAGCCTAAACTGCAGTCGGACATCCTTAGCGCTGCTGAGGAGGCAGGAGAGGCTCCCACCATCACCGCTGTACTGGCAGCCATCAGCCTGGCTTGTGGCTGAGCAGAGCTCCTCCCATGTGAGAGCGCCCTGACCACCAGAGGGCAGCTCCTGCATTGAGCATCTGCCCCCTGGTGGTCAGTGTGTGTCATAGCGACCAGTCATTCCCAGTCCTTCTGCTGTTAGGGTCAGTTTGCATATTACCCTTTTACTATATAGGATAGAGGCCTGGTGCACGGGTGGGGGCCGGCTGGTTTGCCCTGAAGTGTCCCGGATCAGGGTGGGGGTCCCACTTGGGTGCCTGGCCAGCCTGGATGAGGGGATGATGGCTGTTTGCAGCTGGTCACACCCCCTTCAGGGTGGGGGTCCCCACTGGGGTGCCTGGCCAGTCTGGATGAGGGGCTGAGGGCCATTTTCAGGCTGGCAGGTGACTGAAGCTCCCAACCTCTCCTTTTTTTCTTTTTATTCTGGGATTTATTTACCTTCTTTGGCTGTCACTGGAACTGAGAGCTGGCTTTAGCTCTGAGGCTCAGCTCCAGCTCTGAGACCTCGGTTGCTGAAAGCAGGTACCTGGGTTTGTTTGGCTTCTATAATTGAAACACTGTTGCAGCTCCAGCTCCGAGGCCAGCTGGCTGAAAGCAGGTTTCTGGGGTTTGTTTAGCTTCTATAATTGCAACATTGTTTCTTAGAGTGCAGCTCAGAGGCTGGCAGCGGCAGGCAGGGAACCTTGGCTTCCTCCATCACTGGAGCAAGCAAGCCTCCTGTTCGCTTCAGCTGCCTGGCTGCCGGCCGCCATCTTGATTGGCAGTTAATTAGCATATCGCCCTAATTAGCCAATGGAAAGTGTGTCGGAGGTAAGGTTAATTACCATGGTTGTCTATTATTAGATAGGATACTTATTTTGGACTGTTTTATACTATTCATTTCATCTGAAGTAAGTTAGTGATCTGATGGCTGGTTTTTTAAGTTGCCTGTATTGGCATTAGATTTCTTTATATACCTTAGAACTTTGGTTTTGAATAAGGTATTTTCATTTATTTTTTTTATTTTCCACCACTCTTTCTCCCTCTGTACTTACTTTTCTTTGTTTAGCAGTATTACAGTCGTCTCTCTGGCTTACATGGAACCCTAGTCCAGAACCAAAGCGGTGATGTAGTTACTCAAGCAATCATAGGCTGCTTCACTGAGTTCCTAGTCGCTGGATGGCCTGTGTCCTGTCCTGCTCTTTGGGCCACTGCTCCATATGAAACCAGGAATGGGGAGCCCACCTCCAATGGTCACCTTTGACCCTGCCTTCAAGCAGTGATGCACTCTCCTTTGTGGGTTATGTTTGGCCTCGAAACCCTTAGGACTCATACTTCCAGTTTTGGTGCCTATTTTTGGATCCTGAACATTGGAGGCTCCAGGCTTTAACTTCGAGGACTGACCTCTTGGTGTCTGCACCATATCTATTTCATAGAGATGTTTATATTATTTTTGAATTTGCCTGCATTCTTTTAGTTTTCTTGTGTTTCTTTTCATTGCTGTGTGTTTGGAGTAGAGAGAATCCATCAGCGTGATTTTCTGTGCCATCTTAACTGGAAGTCATGTGGGCTGAGGTTTTAAAGGAAATAAAGTGAGATATTTGGTTTTACATAGTACTAAAAGCTAACCACAAAAATGCTTTTCTGTGTGAGTTCATTGACCCGTAACATACAGTTATTTAAACTCCTTCAGAGGCTGGCAGCCCCCAAAAGATGGGATTTATTAGGGATTAAGCAGGTGGGTTTTATTAGGATTCGATGGTTCTCTATAAGGATTTTACCTTTTATTTGTCATTTTGGTGGTAACTTAAAAAAATCGATTGTTTCCAAGCAACCAAATGTTAACTAAATGGTGTCTAAGATGTCAGTGTCTGCAGTTGTGTTTGTATTGGTGCCAAGGAGCACTACTTTTAGATATTGAAAAATGAACAGAGGTAAAAATGTAAATAATGTGCTTGAGCTGAATGAGACATTGCTGTTTCACGAATTGAACTATCCCCAGCAAACACAATAGAAGCTGCCAGTAGCAGTCAGTACCAAGTCCACCTGACTAGTCTAAGTGAGGCTTAGTAACCTACATTATTGATCACATTGAAATCACTTTGACAATTGAAATTTTATTGATTTTGTAGAGTTGTTGGTATTTGTGCATTTAAAAATATCTATAGTTGTATAAGTTATAAGTACAATACATATTTTGCTAGTTTTATGTTTGTTAGTATTTAATAGAATAATGATTTTAGACGATTCTAAGAGCTCTCAAGAATCTTTCTTATTTTATTTTTTCCATCACCATTTATCCCCGCTTTGCCGCTTGCACATCCCCCACCCCCGCCCATATCACTACACTGTTGTTCATATCCGGGAGTTCTCTCTGTCTTTTTTTTTTCTCTTTTGCTCAATCACTCTACCACCCCACCACCACCCTCCCCCAACCAGAGCTGTCTGCCTGCTCTTCAAGAATCTTTTTCTTCAAGTTTGAGAAACATGAATCAAAGGTAACTTAACTCTTCCTATGAAGTGTAGTAGCATTCTGGGCTTGGTTTTGATGTTTTGCCTGGTTCACTGCTGCTCATACTTCATTGGCTTAGCTCATGCATCGTTTCTATCTGCAAGGGTCTGCCACCTCCATAATGTCCCTTCTTAATGCTCCCTGCAGCTTCCCATGGCTCCTTCTCACCTAGCCCTTCCCACAAAGGATTATGTTTTATCTGTTTATAGACCCCGATTTCCTCATTAGCCACAGGTTGTGTTAGAGCAAGGAACGCTGCCATCTTTTTATTTGCAATGTTTTTCAGAGTTCTTGTCATAAAGTAAGTTCCCAATAAATGAGTGGGATTTTTGTTTGTTTTTGTTTATTTAGTAATAAATTACCGGTGGAACAAACCAACGGTGGAAAGAGGCAGAAGTAACTTGGAGCCGAGTCACCAGTGACAGAGGCAAGAAGAAGATTTCTAGTATTTTAACGTCTAATGTGCCCCTTAGCCCATTTTTCTAACTGGTCTCATCAAAAGTTCACAGTCTGACCGTCAGGTAAGTGAATTGAAGACAAGAATGCAAGGAAAGAAATAACCAGTATTCTAACAGAATGTATGCGCGAGACTGGTGATTGTCGAGTCCCAGCGAGAGCTGTGCGGTGCTGAGGGAGAACAAGGGTGGCGTTTCTAGCTTAGTAGCCTGAAGGCAGCACTATCTTGAAAGGATCCACTTGGAAACCAGGTCCAGAGATTAGCTCTTTCCCCTGCACGGTGGGGACATGGGTGGAAGAAGGGAGCTCAGGAAATCTCCAGACAGATTGAATTTCCTTAATTCTTTGCAAAGCCATCTGAAGAGTGTGTCCGCTCTGCACCTGGGTTGCAGTTGCCTCTGCTGATTCCTCAGACCCAGATTTTGTTTATGATTGAGGTTTTTTTGAAATTATCTGCAAATTTCAGGTCTGTGTTTTTGATTAGGGTATCTCAGAGGTGAAATACTGCTGACTCAACAGAGAAAAAGCCGGCTCCTCCTAGTGGAAATTTTCTTAACACTTCATTGTTTTAAGGGGAAAAATATCATTTGTTTCTTTCATAAACACCTTATGGAAATTAGAATATTTTATTGTAACTTTTTTAAAAAAAAACCACAAACACAAGGACAGATTGACCAACCTTAAAATAATGAAGCAAAGAAACATTACTTTAAAGTAATTTAAAAATACTGGCATCAGGCTCTCAGTAAGGAAGAGGAAGAATGTTGTTAAGCTTAAGCATAGTTGAACATAAGCTTCTTAATTTTATATTTGATTATATTTCTAGAAGTTTTAAATATTTTCTGACAAGGCCATTGTGCCCCTAGCTGATGACATTAATTGAAGGCTAGGTATTTGTTTTGTCTTTTTTTCTTCTTCCATAAACAGCATGTTTTGTAGCATTCTGTTCACAAATCTGTTTGGTGCTTATTTCATGGAGAAGCTACTTCAGTTGATTCATGCTCAGGGGAAGTGGAAAATAAGTAGTGCTCTTTATCAGGTTGCCACTTTGAGCAGGTTGTGGTCTGTATATGGTATGTATAGACAAGTGATGGCGAACCTTTTGAGCTTGGCATGTCAGCATTTTGAAAAACCCTAACTTAACTCTGGTGCCGTGTCACATATAGAAATTTTTTTATATTTGCAACCATAGTAAAACAAAGACTTATATTTTTGATATTTATTTTATATATTTAAATGCCATTTAACAAAGAAAAATCACCAAAAAAATGAGTTTGCGTGTCACCTCTGACACGTGTGTCATTGGTTCGCCATCACTGGTATAGACTTACCTTTCATACCCCTGGCTTTTAGTTGGTGCAGACCAAAGGAAAGCGATTTTGAACCCTCTTGGCTCCCTTGACAAATACTGTATGCGGCCGTTTTTGATGCTGTGACATTCATAATGGCCTTTGTTGGAAATATTGACAATCTGGGAACTACGTGATGTCTAGCAACACAAAGTTGGTCAGAATTTTATTATTTTATCTACCGAATCCACTAAGGTTTGTGTACTTATTTATTCACATATTTATTCAACAAATATTTATTGAGTTCCTACTGTGTGCCAGGTACTGTGCATAGCAGTGATTTTCAGAATGTGTTCAGCAAACTAGGTTTTGAGATGTGGCAGCTAGAACATGTTTGACTACAAGTAACAGAAAATCCAAAGAAAGATGGGGTAAGCCCAAAGGAAAATTCCAAGGTTGGCTACTTCATTGCCTCTGCTATGCTAGTTGAGAGGACCCAGGTCCATCTTTCTGCTTTGCTACTTGCAGCGGGTTGATCAGTTCTGGGAGGCTTACTTACTCCTGGGTCCCAAGGTGACTACTGCTGTTCTGAGTGTCACACGAAATGTACAGTGTCTAGTATGGAAAAGCATGTATTTATTTAAGATTGAGACTCTCTCAGAAACCCTCCAGCTAAAACTAGTTCTCATTTCCCAGAGTTGCATAATAGTGCCCGTACCTATAGTTGGTAGGGCAAATGGGAATACCAGGGCTGGTCTACAATAGCCATTCTCAAAATGTGTGTGGGGACCCTTTCAGGAGGGCCACAAGAACAACACTATTTTTATAATAATCCTAAAGATATTATTCGCGTTTCCTACTCTCATTCTCTCATAAGTATACAGTGGAGGTGTCAAGAGGCTGCATGATGTATGATGATGTCATCCATCTGGCAGCTAATGGAATATGTGTGTATGTGTTTTTTTGTGTGTTTTTTGTACATATCCTGCCTCAGGCTTATTTGTACAAATAGCACAGGAGTACACCAGCTCCATGCAGAGAGCAGCCCAGGGGGCACATCCGTCCTTTCCTCCTTACATTGGCAGACAGAGGCCTCTACTTTGGAGCCTTCATGTGGGCCTGGGCACCACTGGGAGCTGGAGCTGCAGCTGCGGCCACCTTAGTCTTGGTTTGAACCTTGGCCTTTGGCTAGCAGAATCTGAGAGCATGTTTCCCAAGCTTGGGGTGAGCGATGTAGGCAAGTCAATTGAGCTTGCAGCTGCCACCCTTTGGGGTCTTGAGCTTGACCTCCTTGGGCTTAGGAGGGCCTCCATAGCTTTGGCACATGCACTTATGGCCTTGGCATTGGCCTGCATCTTCTTTAGGCCCTTCTTGTGCTTCTTGACAAAGCGCATGTTCCTCAGGAAGTTGGGGTCTACCCCTTAAGAGATTCATATCTTTGTGATTGGAGTTTCTTGATGCCATTTCTGTGCCATATTCAGGACTGGTTGTGCATGGTGTGGTCTTGAACTTAGCCATGTCTGCACTGAAGCCTGCACTCCCCAAGTGCCCAGAATCAGAAGAGTGTATATGTATATTCTTAGATTTTAATTTTTTTCTCATTTTAAATTCTAAAATGGTTAATATTGATAAACATAACCTACATAAACAGAAGCTCTCAGTAATGCTCTCAGTAATGTTTAAAAGTGAAAAGGGGTCCTGAAAACCCCACTGCTCTACACTAATCAAGATTCACCCATGGCATTGGGGAAGATCCACCAACACTTCTTGTCATGCGAATCCTGGATAAAACGTTTTTGTTAACAAAAGAGCAGCAGAGGTGTTAGGGCTGTTTGTGGGCAACCATCAGTGTATGCAGGACTGTTCTAAGGAGGGGGCCTCAGTTGGGGGCTTGGCAGGGACATAGGGTATGCTCCAGGCCCTGCCCCTACTCTGACTGGAGCAACTTCAGGTCTGTCCTTTTTTTTTTTTATTAATTCTGGTAAAATGTACATACCATAAAACTTACCACTTTAGCCATTTTTAAGTGTAAAATTTAATGGCATTAATTACATTCACATTGTTGTGCAACCATCACCACCATCCTTCTCCAGAACTTTTTTGTCTTCCCTAACTGAAACTCTGTACCCATTAAACACTAACTCTCCACCTCCCCCACTTTCCTAG